GCAGCTTTAGACTGTTCTATGACCAGAAGCAATGATGTCAATGTAAGCAAATTGGCTTATTTTAAATTCATTGCAGGACTTTAAGTTAAGAGAAGCTCTTGCTCTTATTTATTTTTCTCAGAGGAAACTTTCTTTTGTGTGTTTAACATGAAAAGGGTTTGATTTAGGGATTTGGAAAACACAATTAACATAAGAGGAATCAATAAGCAAAATTAAAAGTTTCAAACTTTTTGTTTTCTTTGAGGCCATAGCAAGAATAATACCTCTCTAGGCATGAGTGTCTTGGGGATAACTCTGTGGTAAAATGACAACAAATATGAGAGAAAAAGAGACTTATTAGGATGTTATAATCTTATTTGTATCCTCAATTATCTGAATAAGTGATTAGAAGAAAGAGTTACCCAATAACATGACGACCACCATCATGAACAGCTTGTGAAACCAAACCCATCAAACCTATGCTTCCACCTCCATAGACTAGATCAATGTTCCTTGAAACCTGCAAAAAGCAAACAAAACAGAGGAAGTTAAAACCATTTTTTCTTATTACAGATAAATTTGAGAAAAATGAGCTAAGAAGAGGTAATCAAAAGCAAATATACTCTTTTGGTATTATCAAATCTGGAGACAAACATTCCCATGCGGATATATCTGTGGGCTCCAAATCATAAAACGATGAATATGATAAAAAGGAACTAAAAGTTAAAAACTTAAATCTAATATTTTGAGTTATCACAGAAGCATATTCACATATCAGCACAACTTTTTAAGGGTTTTTAAAAACAGAGGAAATGCTCTGCATTTGCAAGAAAAAAAAAGCGCACACAAACATATTCACAAACATCTGGTGAGCATAAACTGTAAGAACTCAAATAACAGAGTATCTAAAAGCTTTAAACGAGTACAGAGATTTGTGTAATACCAATTCGTTGCCTAGTTCCACAGCAGCATCTTGGTAACTACTTTTCTTGCCTTGACTACTTCCACAGAACACACAGATTCTTCCAAACTTAGACTTTTGCATTGTTTCAGTCATGACCTCCATTGATTACGACGATGAGCTCAATCTAAAGAAAAAATCTAAAACTTTTTTGCACACCAAATGAAAACAAAAGACAAGTAGCTTCGAGTTTGTTAACTAAATGGTCTCACTACTTATAAAACGACGATAGGTACAAATCGTACAAGTGTCAAAGAAGAAGCATTAGTTTATAACCAAAAAACCCAAAAGGAAAGGTCGAAGCTTTTTAAGATTTCTTGAGGTGTTTCTTTGCCAACTAATGCTTTCGGGTTTGGGGATTGTTAATACATTTTTATAGATACAGAGTGCGTTTTCTCGTCATTTTTTTTTTGGATCTAACGTC